GGGGAATGGGGAAAAAATAAGAACCAAGGTACTCATGTAATGGTACAAGATCCCAATGATGAATGTAACTGTATTTTATACCTAAAATGTACCAACAAACTTAATGGGAAAAAAAAAGAATCCTGAGAGGTAGATAGGTACAACTTAGCCATTACATTTTTGTACATGGGGACATTACAGCAGAGAGAAGTTACTTACATATCTAGTAAAAGTAAACATTTGAACCCAGGCAAATTTGGGGGGTAGAGCTCAGTGTAGAGAACTTGCTTAGTATGCACAAGGACCTGGGTTCTATCTCCAACACTACAAGAAAAAAAATAATCAAAGCTAATATTATTATCATTAAAGAGTTCTACAAATCCTTATTCGGGCTTTCCCAGGGAAGGAGGAGTCTCTGAGGGTGTCACCAGCTAGTGTATCGTTAGTCCATATACTTAAAATAGTGCCTGAAAAATTACAAAAGCTTAAGAATTGTTTATTATTATAATATTATTATTATACAGGGCTGATTCTTGGGAGGCAGTATAAAATAGTGAAGTTCAAGTTCAAGCACTGGTTTGAACTTCTGGTTAAAGATGGCAAATTACACACATTCTATGACTTTCTAAAACAAAACAAAAGGAAAGTTGAAAAGATTTATAAACCCACCAAGATGTGGGAAAATAGACAAGAGCAACAAAAGTCTGGAGGCTAGAAACGCATTTAATAAATACCATATTAATAAGTGGAAACTGTCTAAGCAAGCCTGAGGAGGTTAGGTCCTAACTCAAATGGACCTCAGATCCCTTCTGTGATACCATGCTAGTTCTCTATTCTCTAGCGATGATAAAACAGATAGTTTCAAGGCTGGGGAATTGAAGACACAATTAGAAGTACATGGAAATATGGAACTTAGTGCATGTTTTTATACTGAATGTTGAATGACGACATCTTCAAACACACAAAGTGTCCAAATTTTGTCTGGCATGAGTTCTGTTTCAAGAAGCCACTGCATAACATATGCTTCACCATAAAAGAAAGAAAGAAAACACACCCCCTGTCTTCTTGTATGAGAAGGACCTCATACAAGGGGACCTCATACAAGAGAGAGGGTAAGCTTCAAAACAGTGGTAAAAGAGATTCTAAGCCAACAGCTTTGCAGGTAGCATTAATCCAGATTGGCCTAGGCAGAAGATCCAGGGCTGATCTCTTTCAAGAAAGTGAAGAGAACGTTTAAGGTACTTCAGTATTTGAGATGATTGAGAAGACATTACTCAGCCAGGTGTGGTGGTGCATGCCTGTAATCCCAGCACTTGGGAGGCTGAAGCAAGAGGATCGCTGAGAGTTTGAGGCCAGCCTGAGCTATGTAGTGAGTTCAAGCCCAGTCTGAATTACAGAACAAGACCTTGTCTCACCACCCCTCCCTCCAAAGAGATGACATTACTCAATCTGGGGGAGAGATTGGGAATAAATTTGTGACAAATATATAGAAAGCTAAACTAATAAAACTAAAATGATTTTTTTAGCCCTAGGAAGAAAATTTAGCAGGAAAGGGCAAATAATTATTGTACACTCATGACTTGGCTTTGAAGAGTATTTATATATTAATGGTAAGGTAAATATGGAGTGCTGATGTAATGAAAATTATGATCTAATTGTATTGGAGAAGTTGCTGGCTGGGGGAGGCAGGAGATGTGTGTCTGAGTATGTGGTGGGGGCAGAAGTTTTGGTGAGACAAAAATAAATCCTCTTTTTCTATAATGGGAAACCAAGAAACTAAGAAAATCTAAGAAGTGATAAATTTGGGAAAATTAAGAAGTAGTAGCAGAAGCCCACTATTTAGCAAAGGTAAAAGACCCACTGAAAAGTACTGACCAGGTTACTCTTGAGGAGCAGGAATTTAGGGGTGAGAGTATGGGCAGTAGCTTTCCTTATCAAGACTTGAGGAACTCTTGGTGTGTTCACAAAAGTTTCTGATGTAACAAAAATATGATAAAGGACGGAAGGTGTGCTATGGTTTGGATAAGTGTGCCCCAAAGCCTGTGTGTTAAAGGCACCATCCCCAGCCTGTTGTGCTACTGAGAGGTGGTGGACATTTGAGGAGGGGGTTCTTAGCTGGAAGTCCTCCAATCATGTGGGGTGTGCCCTCAAAGGGGCTATGGGGATCCTGGTCTTCCTCTCCCTCTCATTCCAGTCATGAGGTGAGTAGGCTTCCTCTACTACGATGTGCTGCCTCATCACAGGCCAGAAGCAATGGGGCCAACTGACCATGAAGTGAAACCTACAAAATGGTGAGTGAAAATCAACCTTTCCCTTTTAAAAGTCGATTATCATACTGGGTGTGATAGCACACGCCTGTAATCCCAGCACTTGGGAAGTTGAGGCAGGAGGATCACTGAAAGTTCGAGGCCAGCCTGGGCCACATAGTGAGTTCAAGGGCAGCCTGAACTACATGGTGAGACCCTGTCTCAAAAAAAAGTTGATTATCTCAGGTATTTTATTACAGTAACAGAATATGAATAACACAAAGTGCAACAGGAAGGAAACAAAAAGAAGAAGGAGACCATGGATGAGTCCAGTCGACAGAGCTCTGCAGTAGTTTGAGCAAATTATTTAATTCATCTGATTTCTTCCTGGAAAAACTGGGAGACTTTTAGAAACTTTTACACAACTCGCAGTATTCTTTTTGTCTGTGATATGTACTAACTACATATAATTATTGGTTTTGAAACTACAGACCAATCCATGGAAAGAGCAGCTCTCAGGACTGCTTTGCTCGTCTGGACAATGGAGATGGCACCTGCTCATTAAGCCATTGGGAGATTCAATAAAATAACTAAGTTAAATCTCACAATTCTTGGCTCCAGTAACACATCCAACACATTGCCTAGCAATGATGTGCAAATGTATCAGTGATCGCTGGACGCAGTTCTCTCCCACGCAGCTTCATGTGGGATTTTCCTCCATTTTAACCAGCAGAATGCTCTTAATTACCAGAACAGCTTCTTGTACTGGGGAAACAAAAATACAAGAGCAACTGGTACACAGAGTGGTCACATCTAGGCAGAGTAGGAGAGACGAATAACGCCAGGGGAAAATGCTCTTTTTTTACCTTGTGCAAAGCCCTTATTTATACCTTGCTCACTTTCAAAAATGATTAATGATGCTGTAGTAGGATTTAAAGAGTGAAAATCTTGCTTCAGATTCCTACCTCACCTTGTAGGTAAATAATTTGAGCCTCTATTTCATCACTGTAAATTGAAGCTGAAGTAAGAATAAAGATCTTATTATTCTTTATACATGTACACATACATATCATTTACTGTATGAAGACCTTTATATATTAAAAATACATAACTACCATATAAAAAGTAGTGTTTTATATTTAAAGTATATCACAAGATAGTACATGTACATATATAACTACTACATAAAAGAGTAGTTTATGCATAAAAATATATCACTATATAATACATAGAATATATACATACACACAACTACCATTTATATGGTAAATTACTACTGTACAAAATACAAATCCAGATTTGGTAAAGATAGATGTTTATTCAAGGATGATGTTGCAAGGTTGGGGAAAGGGAAACAATTGCAATAGGGAAAAAGTGCTGAATATAGGATCTGCAAGCTTCCAAGAGTCGGGCAAAAAGGGTTTTTCTCTTATAATGAGAAGTGAGCAGTGCTGGAAAGAACTAGGTATAAAGAGGTGGGTGGGTAAAAGGGGGATCTGATCAGGTAGATCAGGGACTCCTCTACTCAGAGCCAGCCTATGTTTAGGAAGGCTGTCTGCTGGCTCTGCTGGAGGGTGGGCTGAAGCTCAGGGACCTTGAAGAAGAGAGTTTCTTAACCAAAATTTGTTTAACAAGTTGTGCTGACTGCCCAGTGGGGACAAGAAGTTCAGCTAGTCATTTATGAGGAAAAGCAAGAGCATTTGGAGTGTCTCTACTGGCCTTCTGATGAGTGAACAAGAAAATCCATGACAGCCAGGGATTTAGCTCAGTGGTTCCACTGCCTGCCACGTAAGTGCAAGGTCCAGAGTTCGATCCTCGGTACCAAAAAAAAAAAAAAAATCCACAAGTCTTATCTAAGACATGTGGGGGAAAATGATTGGCAGCAGTGAGCAACTTTTCATATTTCATGGTTTAATTTTCAACATAAACTTTGAACCCACACTTTCTACTTTGTATTTACTATGAAATATTTGTTCCTCCTTTTAAATGTATTCCAGTCACTTCCAGCGACCATTTTCCAAAATCAATCACCCTCCAGTAACAGGAGCCTTCCATGTAGCCTGAGTCAGACCCACCCCAGATGTTGTTTGCCATCAGCTGGAAACTCCTTCAAAGTCTCACATTTTACCTTAAAGTTTTGTGATAAATTTACCTTTAATAAATTACTTATCTGCTTAATTGCATTCCACCCTAAAAGTCTTTTTAAAAGATCCTTTGAGAAAATAAGACATTTTCATTTTGTGGCTTTATATATACCCCTGTGGCACACTGAATATTTCCCTCAGGATATGTGAACTTCATTTGCAAAGCTTGTCCATAAAGAGTGATCAAATTTATTTGGTCCTTGACAATATCCAGAGGGAAGAGCTGCCAGTCAGCTACCATACATAGCCATAGAAAAATGCAAAAAATGCTCCCTTAGAATTATCTAGCTCAGAGCAATCCTCTGATGACTCTGAGAAAATTAACTCTAAATGCACTCCTAAATTACTAAATTGGTTAATAAATTTAAGTCTTTCTGAGCATGGTTAGATACTAGGATCCAAGGTCCCCTGGGTAGACTCCTGGGTCATGTCAAACAGAAGAGGAGTCATATCTCCATTTAAAGGGCTCCTCAGCTGCATGAAAACAGTAGTTTTTCTTTCTCTGTGCTCTAAAATGTAACAGAAACAGGGCCAGCATTTCACATGCATTATCTCTAATCTACATAAGCCTACGAGGTCGATGTCATTATCCCCTTTAAACAAAGGAGAGAATGGAAAGGTTACATGATTTCAAGAAGGGCACACAGCCAGAAGGTAGTGGGACCACCATAAGGCTCATACCTTTTTCTAAAACCAGACTACTTTAGACTTCTATGGATTAGATTTATAATTTTAGTGACCAACATGCCCCTTAGCCTGTCTTCAAATGCCTGTGGTTTCAGCTGGGCTTTGGAGAAGAGTTGTAGGATGAGTGGATCAAGATTCAGCTTTCAGGTGACTGTCCAGAGCTCAGAAATTCTCCTCTACATGAAGGAAGACCTCATTTCTTTCTAGCTTTCATCTTATGCAACTTTTGGGGCAGCACTGGGTGATACAGAATATCCTTTCTGCTACACAAATAAAATAAAGCAAATGATATCAAATAAAACTATGTAGCTTTCTTCTAATGAATTGTGATTTACTGTTTTCCTAGGCCAATGGTTTTACCCGTGGTTTTCAAGAACAGCCACTCCTTTTACGGATCACCAATTCAGTCCCTATGGTTGTAAAAAAATCTGTCAAAGCCAACACAAGATTGTTTGAGGATTTTATGAGCCTTTCATTGGGATTAACTCAATGAACAGGAAACAGACTACATGAGGAATATAGATTCGTATTTGTTAATGTTCATATAAAGCCTACATTTCAAAACTTTTGTTTGTATTAGAAAACTTGCATTTTGAAACTACCACGAGAATTGAAGTCCATAGGAACTATTTCTTGACCAAGATGTCATTGTAAACCTTTTCAAAAATTTTTATTATAAATATATTACAAAAATAACAATTTAGAGGCTGGGGGTGTAATTCAGTGACAGAGTACTTGCTTAGCAGCCTCAAGGCCCTGAGTTTCATCCCTACCACTACAAACAAAACCAAAACCAAAAACCAAAAAAAAAAAAAAATGTTTTTTAGAATATTCTAAACCACAATCTATTCTGATCCCTTTTCTTTTGTCTCCCTTTCCCGTATGTATATTTTACTTTTCCACTGCTTTATCTGGAAGGCCAGGGAATTTATGCTGCCCAAAATGGCCCTACAATAGTAACTGATGGGATTTGGTCAGCCCTCAAATAATGACTAATGAGAATTGTTCAGCAGGGAACTTGAAGTCTCGCGCCAGCAGACCTGGGCAAGAGCCAGGAGAGTATAGACTGTTGTGGCGAGGGTGTCACCATGTGCAGCCTGGCTAATGTGACCAGAGCAGAACAGTGTAGCAGATACTGTCAGCTTCCTGTCTGTACCATCTCAGAGATGCTGGCTGACCTTCCAACTGCAGGCACCTGTATCTTTGCCTGAGGGCTTTCTTTGCCTCCTGGAGCCTGCTATGCCTACGTACATGATAGGATAGAAGGCCAAGGCATTAACGCTGCCGAAAGTGGCTCTCAAAAAGTGACTGATGAGAATTGGTCAACCAAGGACTGATGGGAATTGGTATCTAAATGCCCTAGCCCCTTTCTCAGTCAAATAGGTTGATTCTGAATCTGTTCATTATTCCCAGGATTTCCTAGTGGGGGTGAACTCTAACCTTCCTTAGTAGTAGCTAACGTATAACATCTTTTTAGGTGGTGCGGGGTGGGGGGTGTCCTACACATTTACTGGGATCAAACCCCAAACATAGAACTTGGATTTAAATCTTTTTCTCAAGGTCTGATTCTGGGGGAACCTAAACTAAGGTAGATGGAGTGTGTTTAGATTAAACTAAAGCAACACAAAGCTATTCTTTTGGACTATTTTATCTTGTATCTTCATTAAAGTGCTTTTAGTGGGTTACATTTTTAATGTTAATACCTTCAGTTTTGCTACTTAATCCTAGAATTAGCCACAGGAATCTTAGTACTATAGGCCAGGGTGGGTCTGGGACAGAAGTGATGAGCCAGAGCCTCATCGATGAGGACTGAACAGGACTTTGGCTCTGCCTCTTTTCTGGAAACCCTTGTTCTAAGGTTAGGAAAGATAATTTCAACTGTGTTACTCAGCATATCTTATATGAAGTTCATTGTGAGAAATTTCCTCTAAAATTTACATCTGAAAAAAATTGGTTTAGTCCAAGAAACTGGTAAATTTCCTCCATCCAGATAAAAGTTAGAGAGCCGGGGATTTAGTTCAGTGGTTTTGCAGCCTGCTGCGCAAGCTCAAGGACCTGGGTTCGATCCCCGGATCCCCGGTACCAAAAAACAAACAAACCAACCAACCCAAAAAACCAGATAAAAGTTAGATACAAAATTCTCCCCCTCCACCACCTTCCTTCCTCTCTTCTTCCCTCTTTCCCTCTGTCCCTCTTCCCTCCCCAGATTTACCTTTAAGGATGCTCAGAACCAAATAACAACAAATATATAGGGTTATCCCCTGCTTTTGGGTATGTCTATTCCCTAGTCTTGATTTTCACGTACAAGTATGTTTCTCTGGTCCTGTCTCTGTTGTTATTTATCCCTGTTTTATTGTATGCATCTATTTGGTTTTGTTGGTTTGGTTTTTGGTGCGGGGATGGAACCCAAGGTCTCATCCATGACTAAGAACTCTCCCACCGAGCTACATCCCCAACCTGGCTGAATGTCTGTCTTTGTAATCTGCTTCCACTCTTCTATGGACCTAGTGGTCATACATATAAATGCAGTGCCTAATAAGCATTTGTTGAGTAAATTAGATTTGGATGCCAACTCTGCAGAGTTACTATTGTGAAATGGAATTGCATGAGCCACCTCCAGAGCATTGCCTTATTTTGCAGGGCAGGGGCTTTTGAACTTTTTGCGTTCTGTAATTGTTTCTACAAAAGAAATTTTACATGGACAGTGTCACAAGCAAATAAAAAAGAAACTCTCTGGTTGGGATACGTGGGTGAGAGGATAGGAGTTCTCCTCACTCAGCCTGAGCACCAGCTCCTAAGCCTGAGGTCTCTACAGGGCACAGGTTGACCAGCACTCTAGATACACCTGCAAATTGTGGGCCTTGGACACTAGGGAAGTGTGGGGCCTCCACACTGCACAGACTTTCTAAAGAGGGGCCACATAGCCCGCAGTGAGGGCTGCCCTCCTGCTCGCCTTGTCCCAGGTGCTGAGCTACAGGTCAAGAGTCAGCTGAGCAGGCTGCACCCCCAGCCACCTGTTTGTCACCCCCTGTCAGGGCCCACCCTTGCCCACTGGACTTTTCCTGACAGCTTCCCCTCCCCAAGCTGCAGTGAAGATGGGCCAGAGTGAGGCTGGGACAGAGGTGGTGAGCCAGGGCCTCAGCGGTAAGGGCTGAATAGGCCTCTGGTTCTGCTTTTCTGGAAGCTCCAATTCTAAGCTTTGCCACCCCCATTCCCACCCCTGAGCTGTTTGTCTAATAAGGAAACCTTTTTGACCTAGCCAGTTAAAAGTCTTGGCCCTTCGTCTCATTACTGCCAAGCCTAGGACTAAAGAGGGAGAAGCTGGCAGCCATGGCTGCCTTCAACTTGGCAACTGCCCCTCAGGGTCTGTGTCTCAGAGTCCCAGCCTCTCAATAGGGCTGTGTTTTCAATCCTGGTTAAACAAAGCCCAGGGGTCTCCCTCCTGGGCCTGGTGCTCTGTTCTCATCTTTCCATGGGGGATTAAGAGCTGCTCTCTTGTTTGGGTGTCACTCTGCCTTTGAACTGCTGTGGCTTCATCTGGTTTCAGGCTCAGCTTCCTGCCAGGAAGTGGATTTACCTCTGATTTGTTGTTACGCTCTCTGCAGGATGATGCCAGGGGAGAGCAGTGAGTCCCCTTTTCTTCAGCCTTACCACCTTGCTCTTCCCCTCCTTCCTCTCCATCTTTTTTTCAGCTGGAGCCCTGAAATAGCTCCCAGCCACCTCCTCTTGCTGCTGAATTCTCTTCCTACCCAAGCAAAAGTGATGACCCTAAACATAGGAGGGCCCCATGCCTCCTGGCTCACTCTGGGAGTGATGGAGGTGAGAGAAATGGGTTTGCAGATGCCAAAAAGTGATGTGCCCTTGCCAGGGTGGTGGTGAAAGAGGGTCCTAAACTGAGTGGAGGCTGGGTTTGTCTGCAGTGAGCAGGGAGGATAGCCCTGAAGCTGTCCTCATTCTCTTCTTCAAAGTTCCAGAAAATGGGAAAAAAGGATCTCTCCGCCCAAGATGCTAAGCTTGGACTAGAAGCTAGATCTCTTGAGTGTAGATCAATGCACAATTCTACCTTACCATTTTTAACATGCATGTTTTACCTTCATTTGTAATGGAGAGTATTATAGTCTGGCAGGATGTGTGTATCTGTGTGCATGTGTGCACATGTGTGTGTGTGATATGTAGGAAGGAGGACAAAGGTCACAAGAGCTTAGATACATTGGCACATTGACATCTAAGCAAAAGAGAGAAGATTCTTCCAGGAGAGAAGGTTGCTGTTCTGTTCTAGAAAAGACCAAGAAAAATATTAAAGTATAATTAGCTGGACTTTCTGCCCAGTGTATGTAAGCAGTTGTCCAGCAGCCTGAAAAGTAGGCTATATTTTACTAATAATCAGAGGAGGGTGGGTAGTGGTGATGAACCTCACAGAGCTTGTCCATGCAGAGGAGTTCTCTGATACCAAGACCTTTCTAGGTCTCAGGAAAGAGAACGGTGATCTCATCCGCTCTAGGTCAGGACAGGTGTTTTTTGTTGTCATTTACTTGGTTTTGTTTTGTGTTATGTGCCTATGTTTTATACTACTAGTTAGAAGAGAAAGTTGCATTGCAAGACTGGGATTGAAGAACCTGAGGTGAAATTAAACCAGACTCAAGTGTACGTGTGTGTGTGTGTGTGTGTGTGTGTGTGTGTGTGAAAGACAGAGATAGAGAGAACTAAAAAGAAGCTCAAATGTTCCCATGGGAGGAGGAGGATGGGGTAAGGCAGCTAAATACTGCAGGCAAAACAGCTGAAAAGAGAGGTGTAGCTCAAGTAGACAGACAGAGGCAAGAGAAAGCCCCTGGCTGCTTCCTGCAATGCCATCCTTGGGTGTGGCCCTCCCTTGCCCTGGCCCTCCCCTGTACATGGGGCCCGGGGCCCCAAAGAGCACTGGCCCAAGCCCTGTCTGCTGTTCCCCTCACAAAGCCTAGGTTGTGCTCTTGGCAGGGCTGGGCCTCCCCACCACTGAGGTCCTGGCTGGGGCCGCTGGCCCTGAGAGCCTCCCTTCCCAGCCAGAGGCCCCAGATTTGTCGAAGTGCCAATACCTAATGAGGAGCTCATTTGAATCCATGCAAAGTACCAGGGAGCAAGGAGACATGCTAATTAAAGTGATTGCTGTTCTTTAATTAAGCAATAATTCCCTCAAAGAGGGCATTATCATGCAAATAGAGCCCTCTTGGGTGAGGTAAGGGCTTTGGGCAACAGCTGAGGTCTGTTAATAAGGCCCCTAAGCATTGGAGGGCAG